CTGCCAGTTACAGAAATCTCTTCCTCTTAGCTGTAAAAAAAAAAAAAAAAAAAAACACAAACACAAAGTCAAAATCTGTGAATTAACTACTTCCTATTTTCCTTATTGTTTTTCACTTACATTCCAACACTTTTTCTTTGTTTCTCTCTAAAGATTGGTAGCAGTAACGCCTGCTGGAGTGGTACCGGGAATTTGAGCTCTCCCACAATGATGTTCTGCTAGCACTGAGTGATACAGACCAGCATGTCTGTCCCGCTCACTGGCTGCTTCCTGGCCACATCCTCCCTCTCAGGGAGGATCACACCACAGAGCAGCCCTCGTGCCTAGGTGTCAAGACCTGGACACTTGGTCCTATTTCCAGTTGTTATGGACCTTGACAGACCCTGGAGCTGAGAATAAAATCAATGTCTCTCTAGTACAGATGGTGAACAAGCTTAAGTGACTTAATGCTTTGAACACTGGCCAGATCTATTTTAATTACTGAAACCCTGTCATTCCAGGGTCTCTGTCATGAGCTGTTACTTTGCTAAGGTAGTTCTTTTTAGTACATAAACCATGCAGCTAAATATCTGCCAATTTAAAATGCATTATTTAAATAATCTGAAAATCTTCTCTGCTTTAGCTTTTTCGACCTTTCTCAGGAAAACCTGTGCATCATTTGTATGGATTTATGGAGATTTAAATGCCTAAAGTAATGTTTCAGCACTAACAAATGTGGGTAGATGTGACTTAAAAACAAGCTGATCATGCACTGGAACAGAAAAGACTGGAGGATTAAGGCAGTCAGTGAAGATGAAAGTGTAGTCAAATCTGCAGAGAAAAAAAAAAGCTTGAAAGGAGATCCTAAACAAGTAGAACATGCAGGAAATATTTAAAGATTGGCCTTCACTGCTGTGGGTTTTTATAAATAATCAACAGGTACATAACTGCTGTGAACATGTAAGTAGATCAGTTTTAGGTGTGCCTGTCAGGATTTCCTTAAAAGAAATGTCTTATGACTCCTGTTGTCCTAAGACATCATTTAGTGCCCACATGCTTAGAAAAGTTTTTAATGAGTTCAGTAGGGAAGATTTCACAGAGCATGGAAAAAAATCCATGTGGAACGACAGCTTCCTCAGTTGTTTGCAGCTGGTGTGAGCACAGCCCCTCACAAAGCACTTCTGCAATACTTTCTTGTTAAGCATACATGCTTTTTTCCTATTTGAACAATGCCAAAAAGTGATAACTCAGACTCTGAGAATTGTTCTGACAGTCAGCTGTCACTCATTGTCCTTTATTCTGACAACCTCAGGCATTCAGCCATGGATTCATGAGTTTTCCCCTTTCTCTTTATTTTTAAAGGAGGTGGGGGATGGGTAAGTATATCAGAGGATTCAGCCCTGAATAGACTTTTGTTTTGCTCTTTCTTTTGCCTCCTGACTGTGTCAAATGCAGTGTGTCTCTCATGCACTTTCACTCTTTAGAGAGCCTTGACTGGCCTAGCTAGTTAGTATTCAGAAACAAGCCGAAGTGGATAAAATTCTCCTCTCTGGCTTGCTGAGACTGCAAAGAAGTAATTAGACTAAAAGCTCAGCATTTGGGGGAGGGGGAAGGAGGGGAGAAAATAAGACTTTTGCAGCCTATATTGTTGACTGGAACTTATCAATATATTTTACAACTTTGAGAGCCAGAGAAGAGAGAAAATTCAATACATTATTAGGAATATGTGCTAGTTAATACACTTGTACTGTATTTACCTAAAGACTGTTTCATTGTATACCCTACTCTGAACAGTGGGATTTGCCATTTGATGAGAAAGAAGGGGAAAAGGTTAGCTATGGAAATGGAAAATTCATCTTTTCCTCATAAGTAATTGAGATGTTTGAAAGACAGACATACACGACAGAACACAGATTCCCATTCCCAGTTCAGTCTGTGCTTCTCAGTTTCCTTCACTTCCAAATGCTTTTCCATGACATCCATATCCAATCCTCTTTTCAAAACTGGCATGCCTCTGCCCCTTTTTACCTATGTAGTGTCACCTCTGAGTATTTCATCCCCCAGTTTTCTAGTCAATTACTTTCTGCCACAACCACACCTTCTTAAAAAGTGCCCTCCCTCATCCTACAGGACTGCTGAACCATCCTTCTCCAAAACCCTTTCTGTTGGTTTCTATACCCATGCTTTCTGTAATACTTCCAAAATCTGATGATTTAGGGAGAGAATGCCTGAGTGCTTGAAGGGTGTAAATAATGATTTTAAATATTTAATAATATACTGTGTAAAAGTATTCTGTAACTAAGATATCAGAAGAGAGATCATATCCAAATATACAACCTCATCCCCACATATTGTTAATGTGTATATGTAAGTGTGTACATATAAGTATATGTATTTGTATAGGAATATATTTATGTTTATATTCTATCTAGATATAGCTAGGTAAGTAGATAGATCAATAGATAGATTAATATATATTAACAACCAGAAATAAATTCTATTGCTAGCTTAAGTTCAGTACCCCATCCTTCATATTCCTAGTTAAAAATATTAAATAAAATATTATTACGATGTACAGATGACATCATAGAGACTGAGAGTTAAGTCCTCTCTTGGACAAGAGAAACAGAAATTCTTAAATGCACAGAGAGATTTCTTATATCTAGTAACTGTCAAATCCATGTTTTCTTGGTTTTTACTGGAGTTGCAAATTTTATTTCCTAGTTATATCTTTATAACACCCAAAGTTAGAGGCATGGAAGCATATTTCCCTAGACCAGGTAATTTTCTGCATATTTTTTATAAAATGGCAACTGCTTTGTGTGATAAAAGGTGTTGCCATCACCTGCGAGTATGTCCTGCACAAGTTCTTAGATCTTATAACCATAACAAAGTACTCCAGCAGTTTACCTAAAGTTGTGTAAATTCCTGTCTCTTGGAAAGGCCCCAGTTTTCACTTTCCAGACTATAGGAACATAAAAACTGCTATTAAAGATCTTTGAATTGTAAATAAATAGACTTGCAAGCTTGATGAAGCATACATACATATAAGATCTCTCTTGCTGTTGATTCTGTATGAGAACTGGAATCAAATTAGCAGAAGACTTGTTACTATCCTAGTTGAGCTGAAGAAAATTTGACTGCATTTAGTAAGCTGATAAACACCACCCATATGCTGAAATGAAAAACTCCTTTTGCCTGGATTGTTACTAATGACTCTATATGACATATTACATTTTTACATATGCAATGTTTTTACAATAAGAAATCATGGTAGCCTTGACAGTAGCTGAGACATTCTGAACTGGGTACTAAAAGCAAGAAGACATTGCATAACAACTTTAAAAAGAGAAAAATTATATTTCAAATCAGAATTTAAGATTTTTGGAAAAGGTTCATCCAGGCAAGCCATCTTTCAAGACTATTTAAGCCAGACAGAAATTTTTCTTAAAGAAACTGCCTTGAAGTGTAGGCAGATTCTATTCAGGTGAACACATTCAATGTCTCTTTCTCTAATATTTATAAAAATCCACATTTCATAGAAATCCATCAACACAATAGAAAGATATATTCTCAAGAAGGT